CCACAGTCATACTCAGGGACTTAAGCCTTGCTGTAAGATTAGTCATGTCAAGAACATATTGCTATATAATACGCGACCCATCATACTTTATGGTCGTGAGTTCAGCCATAAGTGTTCCTGCCAATGACATATCCGTGAACAGAAACACTCTTCCATAAGCAAAAGTTATGCTTTCGCATCCACATTATCGGGAAGAGTTGACTTAATGTTGCTGGCTATCATCATTATCATAAAGCTCAAACATAATCTGTTAGACATATCTCAAGCCTTACAGTTTGATTTCTCTGTCTCACTGCTTTGATCATTAATGTCAGCGGGCTTAGCTTCAAGCAGTGTCATGTCAATATCCAAAACACATAAATGGAAATTGACTTGCTCATGCCATTCAGAGAAATTTAAATCATTAAAGACAGTAACAAAAAAAGCTTGCGAATGAAGAGAAACAATTGCACAATCATAAATGCTCACTTAATTAATAGATTCAGAAAATACATTCATAACATATATTGCAGGCCTCCTTTGGGTAAACTCAACAATATATATTATTATCATAAGTCGAATGTCATTTAACACTTAATGAGAAATTAAATAAACTCCATCAGACATACATAGTATCTTTGGATATCTACATATGCTCGACAAGAGAATATTATATTTCTCCTTAATGTTTATTAGTTATAGAACATTGATTCACCTTTGGGTAAATCCATAATTTCTAACAACCAATAAACTCATTATCTTAAATAATGACATTCTCAAAAGAACATAAGTTATACGACCCAACATTAGAAAATTAATTTGGCCACTTTGGTGTCTAACAAATTAATTTTCTCTTATATCATATAATAAGCAGATGTAACAATAATATTATATGACTGGACATTAAAAATTAATTAGGTCACTTTAGTGACTAACAAATTAATTTCTCTTAATGTCATATAATAAGCAGTTGTAACAATAAAATATTATATGTCTGGACATTAAAAATTAATTAGGTCACTTTGGTGACTAACAAATTAATTTTATCTTAATGTCATATAATAACAAATATTTATAATGTTAACAAACTAACCCTGATAAACATAATGGGAGTTTGTCAACTCAATTATCATCATTCAAAATACATAAATTTCAATTAATCGTAATGTATTTGTTCCCAACAAATAATTTCGTACTGATATGGTTGATCAAAAATTCATAGAACATACTTATGGAACCAATTCAACCAATCAAACATATCCGCATAATTGCGGGATCAAAACTCAAACTCAAGGCATCATAATCAGATTGTAAACATTCATCATATTAAGCCAATCAATTTTGTATGCCACAATATTTTCGCAGAGGTTGATGCAGCAATTATTTGCACAGCATAATCATATAAATTATACCGGAAATTAAAACATCTAAGCCTTCAGTAATTTCATAAAGCCGAGAATGAATTTTCAAATTCAGATCACAGAAACGTAAATCAATTCCACTCGGCGCATGAGAGCAATTCATACAAATCATAAACTCAATCATTTAGCAATGTCAAACATAATCAAGATTTCGGATATAAGAAAATATCCCAACATTATCAGTATGAATAGATCAAGCATATAATCATTTAAATCTATTCCAAATACACATCAATTATTTATTCACAACACATGCTCTGATACCATTGTAAACTTCATTAAGGATCTTGAATAAATAATTCGGTGTATACGAAATACTTACTTGATGCGGAAGACGACATAATTAGTGATCTTGATCTTGATGATCACAAGAGGCTTGATCGATTGTTAGAACTAAATTAGTTTCTCCCTCCTGATTGTTAGAACTAAATTAGTTTCTCCCTCCTGTCCAACCTTAACGTAGCAGAAAAGTGATGGGATTATGACTGCGTACCCTAATAGGAGGAGAGAGGACCAATTTATAGCAGAAAAGTGATGGTACGTCCATCAAATATCCAGATTAATGGCTTAGATTTGTTTGACTATTAAATTAGGTCTGGCCCAATAGGATAATTAAATGTGAGTCCAATGCTTTCGGGCCAGATATTCTTACATTAATATTATTAAAAGTTGTTTAATATTTTTTTATTATATATTATTAATAGTACTTATATGCACAATTACATTTTATAAATAATTTTGGGTTGGTTTCTTTTGGATTGTTTTGAGGCTCGAGTCTTCGCCTTTGCTAAGCATTAGGCAGTGGCGGGTGGAGTTCTTGTGTTTTGGATCTTTCCTAGAAGTCGGCTTTGTCTGCTGTTTAATTTCGGACGTATCTACTGAAGGAGGGTTGTGCTCTAGTTCGTATTAGTTCTGGTTTTTGTTGTTATGTTTTATGTTGTTTGAGTCCGTGTTTGTGATTTTTTGGTCTTGTTTTTTAGGTTTGCGCACGATCCCACGTAGAACCAGCTCTGATACCGAGAAAAACAGATACGTCATTACATGATCCCATGTAGAACTGGCTCTGATACCGTGTAAGAAACGAGGGGGGAGAGGGATCGAGTGCGGTCCCACGTACGTGAAGCGCACCATAACACGGAAAGCCCAAATGAAGTCCAAGTGAGTTTTCATCCCAAAACCAATTGGTGGAAGAAGGAGTAGCCTACTAAATTTTTAAGTTAAACTCATTATCTCTATATAAACAATGTGTGACAACTCACAAGTGAATATTCCAATATAAATATCTTGACGGGCATTCTATTTAGTTCTAAAGCACTAAGACTAAACCTATCGTGTAGTCACCATATTCAAAATTCTTAAACGTAAGTATTTATTCATGAATATTCAAAATTAATTAAGATTTAAGTTATTTTTAAATAAGCTCATCTTACTAATGCATTGGACCTAGTTGTGTCTATGTGACATATAAATAAACTAAATTCTCGGATGATATGGATAAAATTAACAAAATTCCCCAAAATGCAAATAGAATAGATCTCAACTCAGGTCTACAACAGATTTAAGTGCAGATCGAGTCTTTTTTTTTTTTTTGTTGCCACACCAGCAAGACCCATTCTACTTGCACTTGCAGTGGAGAATGATTTTTTCTTTCTTTCTTTTTTTTTTTGGCTGGGTCTATTTCCTAGGTGACATACATTTTTTTTTTATTGAACCCAAAGCGATGTGGATGCTCTAGACGGATCTCCACAAATTATTGCGTTGTTGAGGATATAGATCACGCCTCTATTATTATTATTATTATTATTATTATTATTATTATTATTATTATTATTATTATTATTATTATTATTATTATTATTATTATTATTAGTGTTGTTGTTGTTATTATTATTATTTACATAATTGCCATCTACGAAACTATTTTTTTTTCTTTTTTAAAAAACGATCGATATTAATATAAATCAAAAGCGCACAAATGTGAAATACAAGCAGCTTCAAGCTGAACGAGAATAGCCAACAGCTGAAAAGTGGGAAGACAAGTCAGAAGAACGCCTAGAATCTCGACTAGCAACGCTAGAATCTAAACTCACAACTAAATAGCCAACTACACAAACAACTAAAACAACTAAAAAGGCCCCAACAAAGTTATACCTGAGTGTCGGATTTTGACACTCGGGCTCACAGGGGCCAACGGCCCAAACCAAAAACACCGGACACACGCAACAC